TTTATTTGTTTGTTTGTTTTGTTTATACATGCACTGGGTACAGTCAGAAGCGCGGGAGGGCGAGAGAATTCACCAGAGCCAGAGCGGGGAGCAGAGCAGGCAGAAGGAGCGAAGTACACTGCTGAGGGGAGCATCCTGCCACCCTTTTTGACTTCCCTGACTTCCAACTTAGACTCATCAGGATTGTTCAGGGAAAAAAAAAAAAAAAAAATTAAGGGAAATTCTATTCAGTATTTTATGCTACTCACCATAGAAACTTGGAAGCCACAAGCAGAACCAGGGAAAAGGCATCACACCTTCCTAGAGAGGGTACAGGGCACTTGTATGGTTAGCTTGCATTCAGTAGATTCCCTTTTTAAATAATTTCTGATCTATAAATCACATAAATCTCAGCACTGAGAACCAGTTTTATGGTTTGATTTGCTAGTAGTCACAGCATTAAAATAAGTTGTAAAAAACAGTGATTTTTTGCAGGATAAATATTTAAAAGGGAACAGCTGTAGGAAGATGTAGTGATTCAAGTCAGCTCATGGCTCCTTTCTCACTAAAGGCTGTGGAGGTTGGGTCTTTCCTCTAAATATCTTTATGCTGCAGCTGTCAGGATGAGGTAGGACAGAGCAGAGAGGAGTCAAGTGTACCTTTGGGAATAGTAGATCCATGGGACAGAGTCAGGGGCAGGGCTGAGAAGTAGGCTGAGGTCCTACATGTGGTGTGAGGGAGACTCAAAGTTGCTGCCTTCTTCCCTGAACTTCTAGGTTGGGTTTTCTACTGTGAAGTTATGGTGGTCATATTTTTTGGGAGGCAAATTAGTAAATTTCAAATTAATTTTAGGAGGCAAATTTATAACTTTCAAGGGGGAAATTTATTTGACAAAGAGATGAGCCTGTTTGGGAAACAAACAAGTTCTGTCACTTCTATTGAACTCTGAGCTGGTTGACAAGTTAGGCTGATGGTTAGATGTTCAGTTTTGGTACAGTGGCAGGAGTTGAAGACTAGGTCAAACTCTTCCTATTTGTCTTGTTTTTCATGCCATTTCCTTTGTACCAGGAGAGCCCCTACTCCTCTCCTCCCACCCAAGCCCTATTACTGAAGTCTTCCTGCCATGCAGCTGCTGCGCTCTCACTCTCTTGCCTTGGTGATTAGAAAAGAAAAATTGTTTTCATCTATGTTACTACATTTTCAGACACAATGGGGTCTGAATATTAGTAATAGTAATTTAGTAATAGTAATATCATGAATAGTAATAGCATCAATGTTACTATTAAGAGTAATTAGTAATATTTCTCACACCAGATGTGTGGGTTTTCCATACATCAGGCAATTCGCAACAGCAGCAGGTATCCAACCATTTAACTCAATTCGGATACTGTCCATAGTTAGCATCAGAGCTCATAGGTTAATGGCTCAGTACCACATGGTCCTCTCCCCACTTTAGATTTCAGGTGCCAGTCTCAAGCCCAGGGAATCCAAGTTTTTTAAAAAAGCTAACACTTAGTGAGTGCTTGCCATGGGCCATATGCTATGCTAAAAGTATTTACATGTATTTAACTCATTTAATCCTCTCAATAATCACCAGGTAGAAATTATTATGCTCCCAATTTTGTAATTGAGGAAACTTGGAGTGAAATAATGGCTCCAGGTCACACTGTTAGAAAGTGGTAGACTATAAAACTGTTGTTTCTCAGCTGGAATATCAGAACTGAAGTCATGGATCTTGCTCCCATCAGAGACCAATAGGACTAACATTTATTTTAAGATTTATTTATTTATGTGTAGAAGAACTGGGGTGTGGGTCAGAAGTGCAAGGGGTAAGAGGATTCACCAGAGACAGAGTGGGGAGCAGAGCAGGCAGACTTACTGAAATATACTGCTGAGGGGAGCAGTGGGCAAGGTGGGAGGAGTCTGCCATGTGGGTTAACTCCCTGGCTAGGGATCGAACTCAGACCATAGGAATGGTAGTGCTGAGACTTAATCTGTAGGCCACCAGGGAGGCCTGGACTAACACTTATTGCTGATGAAATGTGGGTAATGCAGGGCAAGTGTGGAGAGACTGTAATAACTTGAAGAAATATGGCTTCCCAAGCTTGCCAAGGTCTTGGAACAGCACTCAGTTCCCTTCACTGACAGTAAAATTCTCTAATCTTAATTCTTGCTATTTGAGGGGACCCCCCCTCCCATTTTCTCCATCTGGACATTAAAAAAGAGTACATATGTTGGGGTGGGAATGTTACTTCTAGTTTTACTTTAGCAAATAACTTGCTGAGTGACCTCAGATAAGTCACTATCTAAAATAGAGATATTAGTTGTTTTACTTCCCTAGGGGTAGTTGAGACAAAGAAAATAAATGTGAATGTTGATTAAAAAAAAGTCATTATGCAAATATAAGTTCATGATAAATAATAATGCAGGGAAAGAGGTAGGACAAGGATTTTGAGATTGTTGCCTTGAGCAAATTATTTTACTTCTGAGTATGAGTTTCTGCATCTATAAATGAAGATATTATACACTTTACTGAGTTGGTGTGAGGATTAGACATGGTATATATGAAGCCCTAGCATAATGCTAGGTACATGGTAGGTATCCAGTAAATGGTAGCTATTATTAATAATAACCTGACAACCTGGCTTGGTTAATACTCTATTATAAACACATTTGGCAAAACAACAAGCAAACAACCAAAACACACACACATCACTACCACCACCATCACCTACCCAATCACCATGGTTCTCCAGCTTCCCCTAAAGGTGACCGCTGGCTCCCAAGTGTACTTAAAGCCTGCCAAATGCTATTAGCAAAATGGAGGTGCAGCCAGATGGAACTCCTTTCCTCCTCTGAGAGGCTGGGAGTGATTTCAATGAAGGATGGCTGTGTGCAAAGACTGATTCTGAAATAGCTTTGACTGCCAAGTGACAGAAGGTGTGAGCCAAATGAAATGGTGATGGCAAAGGAGGGGATTTAGGGCTGAGAGCAGCTGGGAGGTAATGTGTACTTGCTAACTCTTTGATCTCACTCTGTTACTGAATCACCTTATTCCTTTTCTCCACTTAAGAGACCTATAGGTGATCAGGGCTGCCCACTAGCTCCAGCTGATATATGGATATACCTCTTGTTTGGTGTCATGAGGAATTCTTATTAGCTGCTAAATGTGGAGGAGACCCATTACTCTCCAGAGACTATTGTGGATACCTCCTTGTACTATCTAATCTCAGAATAGGCAAGGACTTCATATGACAGGAAGGTAGACATAGGTTGGAAAAGAATTACTTTTTTTTGCATAGATGAACTAGAGTGTAGACCAGAAGGGAGAGGAGAAGATTCACCAGAGACAGAGTGGGGAACAGAACAGGTGGATTTAGTAAAATACACTGCTAAGGGGAGCAACAGGAGATACAGGAGAGGTCTGCTGTGCCATATATGGGATAGCTCCCTGGCCGGGGGGATCTAACTCAGACCATAGGGGTGATAGCACTGAGACTTAACCCCTAGGCTACCAGGGATGCCCCATATTTTACCACTTTTCAAGGCAACTTACTCATTTAACAGATATTTATCAAGCCATATTATGTCTCTGATTATTTTAGGTTGTGAATAAAACAGATGAGCTTCCTGCCCTTGTGGAGCTTATAGTGGTGAGGATAAACATACTTTATGGAAAAATAAGCACCTCCCTGGTGGTGCAAGTGGTTAGGCACAGCACTATGAAGCTATCCACTGCCTCTGCAGTATAATCCCTGGCCGGCAGGCCAAGGACCCATGCACATGGCCCAGCAGACCTCTCCTGTCTCGCCTGCTGCTCCCCTCAGCAGTGTGTTTCAGTCAGTCTGCCTGTTCTGTTCCCCACTCTGTCTCTGTTGAATCCTCTCACCCCCCACCTCTGGCCTGTACCCCAGTTCTTGTATGCATAAATTTTTTAAAAAAGAAATGAGCTTAATAAATTCATAGAAAAATGTGATACAATGATGAGGGGTCGGGGGATGAGTATCACCATCTGAGGAAAAAACATTAAGGCTGAGAACTGAATGAGAAAACTTCCCAGTTATTTGAAGACAGCTTCTAAGTGGCAGGAAATACAAGCCTACAGAGTCCGAAAATGGCATGTTTGAGGAACAGAAAGTTAACCAGTGAGAACTGGGACATAGAGAATAAAGGGAAAGTATGTAGCAGATGAAGTTAGAGTTCCAAATTGGGGGCCTATACATTAGTCCGCAAAGTATGAGATTTCTCTTAAAAACTAAAACTTTATCACACCAAGTTGTAATCCCTAATAGGTAACAATTTTCTATGTGGAGTAGTATGCTCTCCTGCCCCCTTACATTCCCCCCCTTTTCAAAAGACTTATTTATACATTCAAGAACTGGGGTACAGGCCAGATGTGCAGGTGGTGAGAGGATTCACCGGAGACAGAATGGGGAACAGAACAGGCAGACTGACTGAAATCCACTGCTGAGGGGAGCAGCGGGTGAGACGAGAGGTCTGCTGCGTTGGGTTGCTGTGGGTTGTCTGTGGGTTGCTCCCTGGCTGGCCAGGGATCGAACTCGTGCTGCAGAGGGTGCAAATTGCTTCAAAGTGCGGTGCTTAACCCCTTGCACCACCAGGGAATTAGCAACCACTGAGCACTATTGTAAGTTTAATAAGGGTCTGATTTTCCCCTTAGTGTGATGGAAGCATACAACGACCAGTTTTAAGCAACCCAGTGACTTGATCCAAATTATTAAAAGATCACAGTTTTGTTAATAATAGATTATGGCTAAAGTGGGGGACAAACAGAACAGGCAACAATTAATGCATGAGTGGTTGGTGGCTAGAACCAGTGGAGATAGAAAGTGGACATATTTGAGATGTACTGCTGCCAGGACTTAATACTTTAGATTTGGGGGATAAGAAAAGGCAATTTCAGAAGACTTCAAGGAGAAAGGTCAAGGCTGGGGATGTAAATTGGGAACCAACTATATATATAGTTATATATATATGTTGTACATATATACACATATGTGTATGTGGATATATGCGTGTACATATGTTATACATGTATATGTTATACATGTGATATTTAAGGTCATGGGAAGGGATGAGATCACTGAGGGAGGAAATGTAGATGGAAAATAGAAAGCAAAGTTAAGGGACTTTTTTTTTCCTTTCTGAATTGAAAGCATCTAAATTCCCATTATCATACAGGCTGCTAGATTCTTAGAATTAAAAAGCAATCTAAGGTCATCTAGCCACCACCCCTACCCATAAATTTACTCGAATCCCTCTATACAACATAGTAGTCAGTCAACTGGTGCATTGGTAACAGGAAATATATACTATGTCTATTAAGACATTTTATTCTTTATTAGAAAATGGTCTTCCTTCACATTAAACTTTAACGTAAATATCTTTCCAAAAAAGAACACTGTTGAGAGTGAAAGGGAGCACTATTCAAAATTACACAAGACAATTAGAACCATTCTGGGCAAAGCTTTCAGTAAAAAGTAACAAAATTTTAATCATCTGTCATTAAAGTCAACCAAATGATTTCACATCTTTAAAAGGTGAGATACCGGGCCTCCCTGGTGGTGCAAGGGATTGAGCACCGCGCTATGAGGCAATCTGCAGCCTCTGTAGCACGAGTTCCGTCCCCGGTCTGCCAGGGAGAGACCCACATGGCGAGCAGACCTCTCCTGCCTCACCCACTGCTCCCCTCAGCAGTGTGTTTCAGTTGGTCTGCCTGTTCTGTTCCCCACTGTCTCTGGTGAATCCTCTCACCCCCACCCCGCAACTCTGTCCTGTACCCCAACTCCTGTATGCATAAATAAATCCTTTAAAAAAAAAAAGGTGAGATGCCATTTGTCTTATGGCAAAATTAAGGATTGGCGTTAAAATCTAAAAAAAAAAATCTGTTCTAATGTTCTCATTTTAAAGGGGAAAGTGAGGGGCACTAAATTACTAGCCTAAGATCAAGGTAGCAAGTTAGTAGCGCCAGGTAAGGGATAATCAGATACTGCTGTAGAAATACTTTAACTCTCCTTTCACACGCATGTTACTTGACTCTCACCATACTCTGAGGAATCATTTTATTAATTGAACTAAGGTTCCGAGAGATGACCTGCTCAAACTGAGTAACTATCTGCAATGATAGTTCAGGAGCAGGATAATAGGCAATCACTCAAAAAGTATTAGATAACTTCTTCTAGCTATCCACAATTAAAAAACCCAATCCCCTGAATTCCATCTTTATCCCTCCAGTTATTCTTCTTCCACTTCTAAACTCTCAGCTCTTCCTGTGAAATTGTTTATTCATTTCCTCTTAATCCATACCTAATTACTAAGTGACATTGCTTTAAAAAAATTAGTTTACAATCAAGTCTCCCATCTACTTTCTCCCTCATGTTCATTCCATGCTATATACTATAATTTAATCTTTCACTTTTCCCACATTGCCTGCAGGAATTCTTTCATGTAGCATTCAAGGCTTTTATATACTTTATTTCTCTTGCAAAAAAACTGGGCTTTAGAGAAACTGGACTGAATTTCCATAAAACACTTAGAACCCTACCTGGCCTCATACTGTAAGCACTACTTTTAAGTTTCAGCTATTATTACGGCTCACTTTTATTTGAATACACTGTATGCATTTCTATCCCAAGAACACTTGTAACTCCTTTTTCCTATCTGAATACCTCTATTTCCAAGGGAGAAATAGTGACTTAAAATGACCAAGGATGGGCACCCGTCAATTGTTACTGCTGAAGAAAACAACTTGGTCTTCCGACAATAAGTAGAACTTGTAACCATAAACCCTTATTTACCACAGAGTGTAATAAAATTTAAGGCTGGCTGGGATATAAATAAAAGTATATTTTATTCAAGGGGCCTCCCCTGGTGGCTCAGGTGATTGAGCACAGCGCTGTGAAGCTGTCTGCAGCCTCCGCAGCATGGGTTCGATCCCGGCCAGCCGGCGAGATACCCACATGGCGCAGCAGACCTCTCCTGTCTCGCTTGCCCGCTGCTCCCCTCAGCAGTGTATTTCAGTCAGTCTACCTGTTCTGTTCCCCGCTGTGTCTGGTGAATCCTCTCATTCTCCTGCACATCTGGCCAGTATCCCGGTTCTTGTATGCTTGAATAAATAAATCTTTAAAAATATATAAAAATAAGAGTATATGCTGAATAAATTTTAAGAAAAAAGGTATATTTTATTCAAGACAGTAAGCTTATGGAGCATATAAAGGAAAAAACCCCTGAAAAATAATAAATGGGTTCTGGATTTAGGGTAGTGGCTCAACTTTGGTACATATTAGAATAACCTGGGAAGCTTTCAAAATACAGATGCCTATACACAACAACAGATTTACTGAATCTCTCTATTGACAGGGCTCAGGTTTATCATTTTTTTAAAAGCTTCTTAAGTGATTCAGGTGGACATTTTAGAAAGCTTCATAGGTGATCTTCATGAGCACCTACACCTAAGAATCACTGGGTTTCATCAAGAGAAACTTTGGAACAAGGAAGCTGGTCATGTTTACACATTTTTTTCTCCATGTTTCTAGAAAGCCTGTTTTTGAAACTGAATACCCAGTTACCCAGCTCAGACTGACTTATATGTTTATGAGTAGTGTTCTTACCAAAAAAAACCCAAGCCAAAAAAAATCTCAAACCCTTTGGGTTTGATTTAGGGCGTCCAGAAAAGAAAAAGTCATAAATATTCCCACAGCACACTTGGTAGTCAACTAAAAGCTTGTCTGTTGGTCTGACTTCTATGTATATATAAATTTCAAAACAAACTTACTTAAGTAAATATATATTTAACTTTGTACAATATTTACAGCTTGCAAACTTTACAACTCAGAATTATACACTCAAATCTGTAAATGTTAAAAAAAAAAAAAAAAGTCGGCATTTCAGTATACAATACTTCAAAAATTTCCAAAACAGTACCTCAGAAATTTCCAAAGTGCAATCCCTCACAGGCTCACTGTATTTCACCAACCCAGACAGGTAAACAAATGCCAGGCATGGAGTAATCTGTATCGTATTGAAAACATTTTTTAACACTATAACAAAGCCCCTTTCACCCGCCAATCCTGAGATAACAAATCCTGTAGTTCTCCCTCATCGTCACTGTCAACATTCTCCTCTTCTTTTTTCTGCAGTTCTTTAATGGTGAGAACCTCTTTAAGTTTATTTTTTATTTCATCCTGACGATTCCGCAGCTTTTCCACTCGCCGGTAACACTCTATCTGCTCATCAATCTCCCCAATCTGCCGGTCCAACCGTCCCTCCTCATCTTCCTCAGCAACTATGGCTTCAGAAATAGTGTTGACTTGTCTCATAGCTTTTTGAAATTCGTCCCACTCTTTGTCCATTTGATCCTTGGGGGCATCAACCTTTCGTACCTTCGCATCTATCTCAGGGTCATCAAAAAAACCTTCCGGTAATGCTTCCGCGGTGTTTTCTTTCCTTTCCACGATTTTTTCGTGTATTTCTGCTTTCTCTATTGACCCTGAGTGAGGAATTAAAGGGGCCTTGGGAGGATTTGTATCCAAGAAATCGCTTGGCAGCTTATTATTCGTTGCCTCGCGCGAAGAAATTGAATGTTCCTTGCCCAGTGGGTCGAGCGGCAGCTTGCTTGCTTCCCCCTTTTTTCCTTCTCCTCCCTCTTCCTCCTCTTCCTCCTCCTCCTCATCATAATCAGGGAGTAAACCCAGAGCGGAAGACTTGCTGAGGGTCGCTCTTGTGGACTCCTTCCCCGCTTTGTCAAAGTTGGTGGACAAACCGGATGTGGAGGGTTGTACCTGGGGCACCGGAGAGGCCTTTGCTCTTTTGGCGTCTTGGCTGTCTGTGTCGGGAGCCTTCCTCTTCACGTACTGAAGCACTGCGCTGGCGGAGCGACCTTGGGCGGCTTCCTTTGCGCCTTTCAACTCGGCCACTCTTTCCCGGTGTTGCTTTCCCAGGACGTGAGTCTGCCACAGGAGCTCATTCTTAACCGGAGTGTTACAAAGGGCACAACTCAGCTGCCCCAAACGGTTGTACTTGGCGAATGGAGATTCTATCCGTTTCCGATTGGTGCTCAGACGCTGCTTCTCCTTCATCAGCCGCCGGAGTTCATCCTGATTCACTACTCGCTTCCCCGCCGATGTCCGAGCAGAGGCGGAGGACGCCATCTTTGAGGCCAGAGCGTAGTCGTTCCTGGCTCTCGTCGGGGCGATGCCCGATCACGTCACTTCCGGTCATGACGATGATTGGCTGATGCTCAGGAGTGTGCGCCTTGGCGACCGGTTTCCTCCAGAACCGCGGCCGCGGCTGTGTTTGGCCTGGGCTCGCGCTTTCAACCCGGCTGCTATGGCTGCGATAAAAGCGGCAAACTCCAAGGCTGAGGTGGCGCGGGCCCAGGCGGCTTTGGCTGTCAATATATGCGCCGCCCGGGGGCTGCAGAATGTGCTGCGGACCAACTTGGGTCCTAAGGGCACCATGAAAATGTGAGAAGACGGTTGGAGCGGCGGTTTGGGCGCCGGGGGGGTTGGTGGGTGTCTGGGCGCCCTCCGTGTACGTTCTGCGAATAGATTGGGGCGGTGTGGACCCACTTCTGGCTCTGGATGCCCTTTCTCATGCCTTTTTTTTTTTCCAAAAAATTTTATTACATATATATGCATTATATGCATATAAAATCTAGTGGTCATTTTATTTATTTTTATTTTTTATATGTTTTACATCGTTTTTCATTTTTGCACAATGTATGCATTTTCATTTTGGTTATATTCCCCATACAATTCCCACCCCCCTCTTATTTTGGCCCTAATCCCGTCTCCCCCCCTACCTCGCCCCCCCCCCCCCGTGTGTCTCTGATTTATAGTGCTTGTTGATTTTGATTTGGTCATCGCTAGCTTGTGGGGGGAGATTGAGCAAAGAACCCTACATGTGAAGCTGTGACACCTCCTCTATACCCGCTTTTTTGGGTTAGGGGTCCTATACAGTTAGAAAGTTCATTTAGTGTCTGCTTAGAAACACAGCCGTCTGACACCCCTGCTCTTTAAGACTATGTGCCCTTAACTTGATTTTTGTTTGGCAGTGTGTTGTAGTGGGAAGGGTACAGGTTGTGGAGCCTGGCAGGCAAGGATTCAAATCCAAGGTCTAGCTGTGGCTACTTCGGCAAGTTATTTGAATGCTCTGTGCCTACGGTTCTTCATATTTGTTTGTCCTTTCAACATAGATTTACTTAGCACCATTATGTTCTTCAGAAGAGGGCGAGGGAAAGAGATGAGGATGAAAAAAGGTGTAAGACTGTCTCAGGAGTGAGCAAAGTAAATTAATATTAACAGTAAAAGGTTATTTATGTACTAGCTGGGCTACTTGAACACAGATAACTGATACAGTTTAGATCTAATACAGATGTATGTTCTGTGTGTGGGGAGGGGACGGGGACAGTGAGGAGTGGGGCTGATACTGAGGGAAGGGACTAATTACTGATGGGAGAAAAACCTTTCAGATAATAGATTATTTTTGATAAGTCTTGAAAGAGGAAGGAGAAAGCCCAATGATGTAAATCCAACAGAAACAAAGCCAGTATTAAGAGAACCACAAAATTTGCATGCAATCTCATTTGGTAGATGAGGCATACATAAGCTAGACTGGGAAAGTTCAACTATGTTATTGCTAAATAGTTTGAATTTTACCTTGACAGTGATGAAAAACATAAAAATCTTTTAAGGATTTTTGATCAGGGAACTGACTGAGTCACATTACCTTTTAGAGAAATTTAGTGTGGAGGGTAGATTCAAATCCAGAGATATCTAAGTAGTCCACACTAGAAATGCTGATGACAATGAAAATGAAAGGAGTAGGTAGATTCAAGAACCTCTTAGGTTGTAGAATTGACAGAACTTGATCATTAGATCATCAAATACAGGGATGACGGAAGAGACTGAGTGAACCAATGGTAACATTTCACCAAAATAAAAAACCTGAAGCAAATTAACAAAATTGTAGTTTACAGACTTCAGATTACTCTTTGACCAAACCACTGTTCATTACTCATTAATTGCTCTGTCCTTAAACTTGTAGATATTTCATTTAGAATGAAGTTGCCATATTAGTCCTTCTAGGGAGAAGTTATTCTATGGGCAGCAAATGGTAATTACCATGTTATCTCCCCATGGTAGAGATGGACATTTTCTGAGCACAGTTCCCATTATTAAATAAGGGTAGTGGAGTAGTAAGCACTGGAGTGTCTGCCTTGATTCCTGCCATATGAGCTTAATAAGATCACTGTTTCCTGAACAGGCTTGTTTCTGGTGCAGGTGATATCAAACTCACCAAAGATGGCAATGTGCTACTCCATGAAATGGTGAGCTAATGTTGCTGACTTTAATACACCTAGAAAAAGCTTAATTAAAAACATTGTACATTTGTTACAGTATCTTTAAACCAAGCTTGTCAGCTAAATACTGCAGTCATGGCATATGTTCGTTGAATTAAACTTCACCAAACTCTTTTCAAATCTTTGAATATAATCCGAATAATAGTTTAGGGACATTTGCAAACTATCTTTTAAAGATACTGTATTATATTCTTTGTAATCATGGAAAAATTAAAAAATCCTTTTGCAATTTTAGTGAATATATTCATCTTCAAAATTGAAAGATTTAATCTTATTTTGGAAATGTTACATTTGAAGCAAATACTATTATAAAATGTTCAAACCGCATGAATTTTTTCTGTTCTTAAGTTTTGGTCTTAACATTTATTTAGTATTGATGACATAAAACTTGTGGGCTGGTAGAATGAAGCTCATTTCACTTTGTAATTTTACAAATGACCCTTAGGTTATTTGTTTTGGGTAGACTATTTCTTTATCTCACTCTTTCTCGTTTTTTTTAATCTGTTGCTTATATTTCCCAGCAAATTCAACACCCAACAGCTTCCTTGATAGCAAAAGTAGCAACAGCTCAGGATGATATTACAGGAGATGGCACTACTTCAAATGTTCTAATTATTGGAGAGTTACTAAAACAAGCCGATCTTTACATTTCTGAGGTATTAGAGTTTCGTGGAATTAACATTTATATAGTACTTTATATTGAATGGGAAGTACTTTTTGGAAAGCATTTTTTTTTCAGGTATTAAAAGTTTATTTTATTATCTAAACTTTGCATTTACACCTCCTAAGAAGTCCTCTGATTCAAAATACACACCGACTGAAGAAAAAGAGGGAGCATTTTACTGAATAAATTCACAATATTGACCCTGCTTTGACCCAGTTGAAGATAATAACTAAGTTGATGTTTTGCATATATTTTTTCTTTTTTTTTAATTTTATATATTTCTTACATCATTTTTCTTTTTTTTTTTTCTTTTTTTTTTCTTTTTTTTGTGGGACCCTCGCCAGTGGCCGGGGAATGAACCGGTGCTGCAGAGGCTGCGGGCAGCCTCGCAGCCCAGCGCTCAACCGCTGCACCACCAGGGGAGGCCCATCATCATTTTTCATTTTTGCACAATGTATGCATTTTCATCTTGGTTATATTCCCCATACAATTACATCCCCCTTATTTTGACCCCAATGATTTGATTTTTTCTTTATTATAGTTATTCTTTTTCCTGGTCCATTATTTAGGTTTTCTAAACTCCTGCTATGAGTGAGACCATCCGGTATTTTTCTTTTTCTTTCTGGCTTATTTCGCTGAGCATGATCCCTTCCAGCGCCATCCATGTTGCTGCAAACTGCATGTGTTTATCTTTTTTGAATGCTGAGTAATATTCCATGGTGTACATGTACCACATCTTCTTGATCCAGTCATCTATTTTTGGGCATTTGAGTTGTTTCCAAAGCTTAGCTATTGTAAACAGTGCTGCTATAAACATAGGGGTGCAGGTGCCCTTTGGAATTGATGTTTCTGTGTCCTTTGGGTAAATACCTAGGAGTGGAATTGCTGGATCATATGGAAGCTCTATGTTTAGTAGGTCCAGAAATCTCCACACAGCTCTCCATAGTGGTTGGACCAATTTGCACTCCCACCAACAGTGCAAGAGAGTTCCTTTTTCTCCACAACCTTGCGAACATTTGTTGTTGCTAGTTTTGTTTTGTTGTGTTTTTTTTTAAGATTTATTTATTTATTTATACAAGTACTGGGTATAGTCTGAAGTGCAGGAGGGTGAGAGAATTCACCAGAGCCAGAGCAAGGAACGGAACAGGCAGACTGATGAAATACACTTCTGAGGGTAGCAGCGGACACGGCATGAGAGGTCTGTCACACCATGTGGGACCCTCGCTGGTGGCCAGGGATCGAACCAGCACTGCAGAGGCTGCGGGCAGCTTCGCAGCCCAGCGCTCAATAGCTGCGCCACCAGGGCAGACCCTGTTGCTAGTTTTTTTAATATGTGCCATTCTCACTGGTATAAGATGGTATCACATTGTAGTTTTCATTTGCATTTCCCTGATTACATGTGATGTTGAACATTTCAAGGACCATTTCAGTAAAGCATAGACTGGCTAAAGTGCTAGTTATTACTTTGTGTTTCGTTTAGTAATGGGAGTTGTCTGTTCAACGTCTGTTACTTTATCTTAACTTTTGCCTGTAGAGAGTAGAAACTTAGCTAAAATTAACAATAAAAAAAATTATCTCACGTAATTGAACATAGAGAAGATAGGTTTCCAGGGTTGGTTGGTTAAAAAATCACTCACCAAGTATCCGTATGCTTTCTGGCTCTCACCTCTTCCACTTAAGGTTTAGTTCTACTTCTATAAGAGGGCTCTCTGTTTCCCTTCAAAACACTCAGCAGGACAGGGCCTGAGAAAATATGGAATATAAATTCTTTATATAATTGGACCAACCTTGGTCTTAGTCCATCCCATGCCAATACGAGTTTTTAGGGGAACTCACTTAATCTAATCAGGTTTCTACTCTTGAACTAGGTATAGAGTCAGCTTCCTCTGAAGCACTAGAGAAAGAGAAATACCTAAACAAAATTAGGGGTGGATTAAGAAGAGAGAAATTCAGGAAGGGAGAGATGCTGACAGACGTTGACATAAATATGAGACTGTGTGGCAGTACTGTGATAGTGATAGAGTGATAGAGCTAGGAATAAGATACTGTAGAAATACTGAGGAAGCTGGGGTATCCTAATCTAGTCTTTCTGGAGGAAACAAGCTAAATATTTAGGATGAGTAGGAGAAAACCATTCCAGGCAGAAGAGACAGCATGAGTAGAGGCACAGAGGAAGAGAAGCAACATCATAGTATGTTGAGTTACAAGTAGTTTGGTGTTGGCAGTGTTTAAAGTGACATGGATAGTGGTGATTAGCCTGGGAAAGTAGTTGGTAACAACATCATGAAAGGCATATGGTATACTAATCAATGATGTACATTAGTACATCATTAATGTACTAATACATTAATAAATAATGTGGCCAGATTGACATTTTAAATATTTGGGGAACAGTTTTGAAAGATTCAAGGCTGGAGGTTCTGAGAGTAGTCCAGGTGAGAAATTGTGAGGTTCTAGACTGAAAAAAGTGTTTTAAAAATAATTAACACAGGGCCTCCCTGGTGGCGCAGCGGTATCGCACTGGGTTGCGAAGCTGCCTGCAGCCTCTGCAGGGCTGGTTCGATCCCCAGCTGCTCCCCGACCACCGGAAGAGGGTCCCACATGGCACGCAGACCTCTCCTGCCGCCCACTGCTCCCCTCAGCAGTGTGCTTCAGTCCTTCTGCCTGCTCTGCTCCCTGCTCTGGCTCTGGGGAATTCTCTCACCCTCCCGCGCTTCTGACTGTACCCACTGCTTGTATAAATAAATAAATAAATCTTTAAAAAATAATAGTAATTAACACAGGCTATAGAGCCAGGTCTTTTGGGGTTAAATTTTGCCAGCCAGTTTAAGGCAAATTACATTTTCCCTTTAAGCTTCAATTTCCTCTTCTGTAAAGCAGCAATAACAACAATACTCATTTCATGGTATTGAGAGGGCTAAGTTAGATAATACATGTAAAGCCATTTAGAATAATGTCTGGCACAAATGCTCACTAAATGTCAACTTTTCACAATTACTATAAGGGCCTCCCTGGTGGTGCAAGGGGTTAAGACACAACCTATGAAGGTGTCCACAGCCACTGCAGCACAAGTTCTATCCCTGGCCAGTGAGCCATCCACATGGCACAGCAGACCTCTCCTGAGTTACCTGCTGCTCCTGTCAGCAGTGTATTTCAGTCAATCTGCTTGTTCTGTTCCCTACTCTGTCTCTGGTGAATCCTCTCACCCCCCGCACCTGTGGCCTGTACCCCAGTTCTTGTATGCATAAATAAATAAAATCTTTAAAAAATTACTATCAGGGCCTTCCTGGTGGCTCAGCGGGTTGAGTGCAGCGCTGTAAAGCTGTCCACAGCCTCTGCAGTACATGTTTGATTCCCAGCTGGCCAGGGATTCCCAGCTACCCACATGGCATGGCAGACCTCTCCTGTCTTGCACGCTGCTCCCCTCAGCAGTGTATTTCAGTTTGCCTGCCTGTTCTGCTCCCCATTCTGTCTCTGGTGAATCCTCTCACCCTCCCGCGCCTCTGGCCTGTACACCAGTTCTTGTATGAATAAATAAATATAAAAAAAATTACTATCAGATTGATGTAAAGAAATGAAGGAAGGGAATAAATTAGACCTAGTTCTAACTTTCAGTAAATTTGTATATTTTAGAATAAATTATACGGATTTGAAAAAGTTATTATATGAGACCCACAGAAAAGTTGGAGGAATTTTCCAAAGAATAGCATTTCTTTTCCAGAGATATATGTGTATAGAAATATGTATGTGTGTAGGGCCTCCCCTGGTGGTGCAGCGGTTGAGCGCCGGGCTGCGAAGCTGCCCGCAGCCTCTGCAGTGCCGGTTCAATCCCCAGCCACCGGTGAGGGACCCACAAGGCATGCAAACCCCTCCTGCTGTGCCCACTGCTCCCCTCAGCAGTGTATTTCGTCAGTCTGCCTGTTCTGTTCCCTGCTCTGGCTCTGGTGAATTCTCTCGCCCTTCTGCACTTCTGACTATACCCAGTGCTTGTATAAATAAAATAAAATAAAAAAAAAAAAGACAGCACATTTAAAAAAAAAAGAAATATGTATGTGTGTAGTAATATTTTTTTTAATGAATGGTATAATAGGCATGATGATATAAACATTCCTGTGTGTATTTCGTAAAACCAGGGAATTCTTTCATATAACCATGGTATAGTGATCAAAATGAGGAAATTAATATTAACATTGACACAGTACTATTATCTGATCTTCAGATTTTATTCAAATGTCATCATTTGATCCAAGTGTCTTATAATAGTAGAAGACCTAAGTTCACGCACTGTATTGTTCTCATGTTCCTTTAGTCTCCTTTAAGCTAGAATTGTTCCTGAACCATCTTTTGTGTTTCATGACTTTGCTGCTATTAGAGCATAGGCCAATTATCGTGTAGTAAGATCCTCAATTGGGATTTGTCTGTTTCCTCCTGATTAGACTCAGGTTATGAACTTTTGGCAGGAATACCACAGAAGTTCTATTGTGTTCTTAATACATCATATCAGGGGGCACCTGATGTCTATCTGTCTCTTTACTGTGATGTTAACTTTGATCATTTGGTCAGGGTGGTATCTGTTTTTTCTCAAAATCAGTGCTGGACTTTCCCCTTTGCATTAAAGGGAGTCTTTTGTGCCCATTAGAAGGGCACCACATGACAATTATGTATCATAATTTTTAGAAGGTAAAAGGACTTTTGTAGTTTTTATATTGGATTTAACAATTTTTCTGTAAGTTTGAAAATGAGAAAAAAAGGACAGTAAAGTGCCAAATTCTGGCCTGTAAGATCAGGGCTTTTATCTTCAAGAAGCATCTTAAATAGAGAGGAATTCAGTGTTCTAAAGTGTGGTAAACAAGAGATATAAGCAAAAAATTCAGAAATGTTAACATGGAATGTTAACATACTTTATGGAAATTGGGCAAATGTGAAATTCATGTATTGCTTTGAAATGACTTTTTCAGATCCAACATTGTAATTTAGGAGTTTAAACATATTGCTATCAAAACATTAAATTTTTTCCTCACAAAACAATTATGTTCTCTGTATAGAGGGACATAAAGACATGGAAGAAAAATGAAAACCAAAAACCTTTCTTTTTGAAGTGGGAGAGGAATAAGATTTGAAATTTAAAAATCTCTGCAGTCATTCACATTATAATCTTCCAATCTTAGGAATGATTTGCAAAATGCTGAGGAAAGGCATAGAATCACCTAAAAATTGAGAAAAAAATTAAGCACTGCAAAATGACTTTTATAAATTACATAATACATTTAGTGGCATTGATGTTGTTATTATAACCTGTTTTGGGCATACCTATTTATAGAAGAGAATAGTTGCTTTTACTTTTGGTGATTTATTTTATAATTTATAGCTTTATGTTGATGTAATAGGGCCTGCACCCTAGAATAATAGCTGAAGGATTTGAAGCAGCAAAGATGAAAGCACTTGAAGTTTTGGAAGAAGTTAAAATTGAAAAAGAGATGAAAAGAGAAATCCTCTTAGATGTGGCTAGAACATCTCTACGAACTAAAGTTCATGTTGAACTGGCTGATGTGCTAACAGAGGTATGTGATTAAACTTTTGCATTCAGAATGAATAGTGCCTAACATACGGTGATATTTTTTCTTTCTTTTTTTTTGCCTATAAGATAATCAAGTGGTTCTTTTTGAATGTAAAATGAAATATTGCAATTTGTATTCTATGTGTTTGTGCATGTAAAATAAAATATGGAAGATAAACACTTATAGACTTATAGACTAGATTTGATTGGTATCATTTTTCAAAGGTGTCATGTTAAGCCTTCTTTTAAGGTAACATTAAAGTTACCTTACATAAGGATTGTTTCCTGTGTGGAAGCCATTGGGGTGGATGTACTCACTCTTTAAACCTATAGTTCTGTATTCATTATGTGAGGTGACATGTGGGGAAGTTGTTTTTGCAATGTGTGTTGTACTTAAGATTACCATTTCAATAAAGCATAATTAATCTGACAGATTATATATTCACATCTGGAAAATGCATATTTGTTTTGCTTAATCCTGAAGGTATCAAGTAATATAAGGATAATATTGGGTATATTTGGATGGATTTTTATCAGGTGGCTATAGTTTGATCATATTACTATTCCTTAGCTTTGCTGTTTCTTGAATTTATTAGTTTATCAAGAATGACAAATTAATTACAACCAAATTCACAAGACATCAACATATAAATTACAATGCTATCTTACTTGCTTTGAGAAATATAAATGCCAAATGGATTAGAACACTGAAGTTGTTTCTTTTCTTTTTTTTTTAAAGATTTATTTATTTATGCATACAAGAGCTGGGGTACAGGCCAGAGATGCGGGGGGGGGTGAGGGGCGGTGAGAGGATTCACCAGAGACACAGTGGGGAACGGAACAGGCAGACTGACCGAAGTATGCTGCTGAGGGGAGCAGCGGGTGAGATAGGAGAGGTCTGCTGTGCCATGTGGGTTGCTCCTGGCCTGGCCGGGGATCGAACTTGTGCTACAAAGGCTGCGGATTGCTTCATGGTGTGGTGCTTAACCCCTTGTGCCACCAGGGAGGCCCCGAAGTTGTTTCTTTTTCTCCTTAAATAGGAATACCTACTTGGGAAATCAGATTATGATTAATCAATTTCTTTCTTTTTTTTTCTTTTACAGTTTATATCTTTAATTCACCATGGTATTTCTTTAAAAGAAATATATACACAGCTGCATATATCTTGGGAAAACCTTAAACCAGTATGCTCCTAATTTCTCCTTACTGTCTTTTGTGCTGTTTCAATACATTTTAATTTGCATATGTCCCTCAAGATTAGGCAATTTCTTACTGATCAGATACAAATAAATACTTTGCTGTATTTTCTACTGTTGGAATACATGTATCAAGTAGATCAGAGCCTTCATGTAATCTGGTTAAGGCCTCCATTCTCTTTTGGCAGGGAAGAAACAATGATAAAAACAATGATTATCTCATTCTTCAGTGGTAGTTCTCATTTTTCCCTGTTGGACTCCAAACCAAATATCAGGTTTATTTGTATTTTAGGACAGTTATAACATAGCACGATTTCAGTAGTCAGTTATTGTCCTTTTACTACTTTCTGAGCTAATCAATAGGGTATATTGTGTTATGTTTCTCAAAGTGCATATTCCCGGGAATATGTAACAGAAAAAATGAGACCCATCTTTCTGGAGTGTCAATTTTACTTTGTAATCTTGGAGGAGAGCATTACTTTCACATTAAAACAACCACGTGTATATTATGGCATGACATGGAAACTTCATATACGGTAAAGCAAAAGACTTAAAAATTTCCTGTTGTTATAGCCAGCAAAGTTGAGCTGTTCCCTTAGACTACATTTCCCTCTTTTCTACGAAGGTGTTCCTTCATGGAAAAGTTTGAGAATTATTGAATAGATGGAGTAGTGGAATGACAGTCAAAGAGATCTGAATTTTAGTTCTGACTTTGCTACTACATGTTAGATTTTGTCTTAAGACCATAAATTCTTAAAGGTTTATCTTTATTTCCTTATCTGTAAAATAAAGGATTTGGACCTGATGATCTTTAAAGTCTCTTTCGTCTCTGAAGTATCCATTGGCATTGGTTATTATTAGTGCCATGACAAAAGTGACACTTTTTCTCTTTACCTTATATTTTGGAGCCTAAAGCCTTTCACCTACTTGTTTGGTGATGGATTAGTGGGACCAGTGATTTCTTTTAGTAATTTACTGTTCTTCACTTCTCTTTCAGGCTGTGGTGGATTCTGTTTTGGCTATTAGAAGACCAGGTTTTCCTATTGATCTTTTCATGGTAGAAATCATGGAGATGAAGCATAAATCCGAAACAGATACAAAGTAAATTACATAACGTTTGACAATACATAGATTCTAGAATATATGGGTATCTTCAGATGACCTTTTAAATGAATTTCTAATGAACTTTGTTGCTTTTTTCAATCTGTTCATTTAGCATGCATTAATTGGATATTACTATGAACCACCCACTGTTTTAGATACCAGGAAAGAATAATAAATAGAATTTCTTTGTCTGAGAAGTTTAGTTGAAGGAGATGATAAACATATTATAATAAATACTACAAAGAGGCTAGTGTAACATTGCATATGAACATGTGTATGATTTTAGATGGGTCAGGAATTCATGTGATAAGAAACTGAACTGGAGAGTTAAAGAGGTCTCTGAAGAAACAAGGGAGCTAGCCATGTGACTATCTGGAAGAAGAGGGTGCTAAGCAGAGGGAGTAATAGTTGAAAGGGCCCTGAGTAAAAGTGTGCTGGGGTGTTTCAGTATCTCTGGAACATAGCAAGAGGAAAAAGGAGTAGAGGTTGTGATTAGAGGGGCCAGATGATTGACATTAAGTGTGTTGCATCTTGCTGCTTTTTGTATTTGACTCATTTTAACATTTTATTGTGGAAAATTCTGTCTTTATCAACTTTTAGTGGGTGGCCCATCCTGTTTCCCTTTATATTCCTTAATGTACTCTTCTTTCCTTCCTTCCTATTTCAAACCTGCATTTTTTAAAGTCAATTCAGATATCATATTCCATCTGTTAATACTTTATTTTTAATATATGTGGGGTTTTTTTTGTTATTTATAGAAAATCTATTTGGTTCTTCTGAAATCTGCCATGTCACGTTTTAAAAAAAAAATTATTTATTTTTATACAAGATCTGGGATAGAGGCCAGAAGCACAGAAGGGTGAGAGGATTCACTAGAGACAGAGTGGGGAGCGGAACAGGCAGACTGACAAAATACACTGCTGAGGGGAGCAGCAGGTGAGACAGGAGCAGTCTACCACGCCATGTGGGTATCTCTCTAGCCAGCCAGGAATCGAACACATGCTGCAGAGGCTGCGGACAGCTTCACAGCTCTGTGCTCAACCCACTGCACCACCCGGGAGGCCCTGCCATGTCACTTTTTATGGTTTCCTGTTCCCTGCAGATCTTTCCAAACTTGTTCTTTATTTCTTTAAACATATGGGTCACCGCTGTAGTTTTGGTTTGCTTAATTTTGGTGTTTATTATATTTTGCTGATTTTCACTCATTGTGCTTTGTTTCCATATGTGCCTTTCATTGTGTTTGAAAAAGTATTTGTAGAAATAATTTGAGACCTAGGATGAAGGTATCTTTCTGTATGGAGAATTTGAATTTGCTGTGGTGAGGAGCCTAGGTACTACTTTAAATTGATGCCTCAGCTTGAGGTCTTGTGTTTCTCTTCATTTTTTTTTTCTTTAATATCCAGTTGTGAATTCTAACTGCAAATCCATATGAGGATTGATTGCTTCAAGTTCATCCTGTTGGTTTCTATCCTGAGTATATATCCCTTTGAATACCAGTTTAATGTGAACGGGTCTTCCATTAGATTCTACCTCAGATGAATTCCAAACTTTTAATTGTGTCCTCATCTTTGAAAGGTAATTGAAACTAAAGTTTAGAAATGCCTGACTGTCAAATGACCTTAGGATAAGAATGCTTGTCATCCCCTGCTTACATCTTGGAGTTTCTGCTTTGTTTTTGTGTTTGAAAAGAAAATTATTTCCTATTTCTTTACTATTTCATATGATCCTCCAATGTTTTTAGAGGTTTTTTTTGGTATTTTTAAATTTATTTACTTATATATATCTTACATCATTGTTCATTTTTGTGCAGTATTTGCTTTCTCCTCTCAGTAAAATTCAGAGGACTAAAATATGGGGACTAAAAATTTAGTCCCTATAAAATTCCTACCATCACCTGTGCACCATCACCATACTCCCTTATGTTCTTCCCTCCCCTGTTTTCCCTCCCTCTCCTTTCCTCTTCCCTGCAGAATGTCTCTGATTATAGTTGTCTGTTAATTTTGATCTTTTATTTATTATTGTTATTTTTTTCCTGATCCCTTATTAGTTCCCCTATAGTCCTCCTATAAGTGAAACCATCTAATATTTTTCTTTCTCCTTCTGACCTATTTCATTGAGCATAAACTGTTTTTAGAGTTATTACTTTTTTAACTTAGCAGTTTTTTGTTTTTTTGTTTTTGGTAGTAAGATTGGTTCAAATTAACCTATCATTGCTGAGGGTAGCAATTTCTAGATTTATATTTCAGAAGCATATCTGGTTGTTGAATGGAGACTTCACCAAGGAGTGGCATGGGAGGTACAAGGGCAGAAACATACCAGTTACAATTTTTTTTTAAAGATTTATTCATGCATACAGGCCAGAAGTATGGGGTTGAGAGGATTCACCAGAGACAGAGTGGGAAACAGAACAGACAGACTGACTGAAATACACTGCTGAGGGGAGCAGTGGGTGAGGCAGGAGAGGTCTGCTGCACCATGTATAGGTAGCTCCCTGGCTGGGGATCGAACTCATGCTGCAGTGGCTGTGAACAGCTTCATAGGTTGCATCTTATTGTGCCTCCAGGGAGGCCCTACAATTTTTTTTTCCTACAATTTATTTTAATACAGGTGAGAAATACGCTTTAGGTCAGGGTCTACTTAGAAAGGAGAATAGTATTTGTTGATGGGTTACAGTATATAACAGAAGCAGGAATCAGGGACATTTCTTGGGTTTTTGCATGAGAAACTGAAAAAGTAGAATTGCCATTTCTTGAGATGGAAAAGACTGGGAGCTGTAGGTTTGGAAAAAATAAGTTAAGAGATTGATTTGGGGAATGTTACATGCCGATTAGCTATCTATGTGGAGATGTTGAGATGGGAATTAGAGAGGTGTGTCTGGAGTTCAGAATAGAGATCTGGACCAGAAATATATATTTTTAGGAATCATTAGTGTATGGGTAACTTAAAGCTATGGGAGTCAATGAGATCATCTGGGAAGTGAATATAGATAAAGAAAAGAAAACGTTTAAGGATTGAACCCTGGAAACTCAATGTGTAGAAATTGAGAAAATGAAGATTCAGCAAAGGAGAATGAAAACGGTTGGTCAGTGAGATTGGAGGAAAGGCAAGAGACAGTAGTGTTGCAGAAGCTAAAAGAAAATAGTATTTCAAGGAAGAATAGTCATGTCATATACATTGTGTGAGCCAATTGCTCTGAATTGAAAATTGACCAATTTGGAAAACATTTCATTTTTTGGTTGATTTAATGAAAGTTGATTCAGCAAAGTGTATGAAACATTGGACTTGAGAGAATGTTTAAGAAAGAAGTGAGGATGCAAATATAGATGACTTAGGAGTTAAGCTATAAAGAGAAACAGAGAAATGGGATAGCAGTTAAAAGGGAATATAGAAATGGGTTTGAAGGAGAAGAATGAATTTCTGAGGCATTCTGAAGAGAATGCTTTCTGAATGCATTCTGAAGAGAAGCATTCTGAAGAGAATGCTTCTGTGAATTCAGACAATTGATGTGAATCCAGAGAATTCAAGGAATATGAGGCCATGCAGGATCATAGAGGGGAAAGGGAACACAGCACCCAAGTGCAGAGGTTAACCTTAGAGAGGAAGCTGTTCAAGTCAAGTGCAGGTGCTTTGGTAGAGGTAGTAATGAAACAGTGTTTCTGTTTTCTTGGAGATGCAAAGTCATTTATTGAAAGTGAGGAGGGGCCAAGTATAAAGGAGGCTTGAAAACAGAATATTAAACATAGTTTGCTTGTTTCTTTGTAAAATAAAATATTTTCACATTCATTTAGGATTTAGATTACAATTTTGAAAACTTCTAATTGTGTTAAACTATTTAAAATTATTTCCTTAATGTGTAACAAATATTGGTTATAAAAGATTCATAATTGGATATACATGAATTTTAAAGGTTATAAAAATATTTATTGTGGAAAGAACATTTGGAGAATGAGTAAAAGCTCTCCCCCTCACCCTACAATTACTTGTATTCCTACCATCCAAGCATAACACTACTTTTACTTTTCTTCCATTTTCTCTTTTCAATGCCAAGGTGCATATATTTTTAAAGAATAGTTACCGTTGCTTTGCATGCAATTTGTCATTCTGTGCTTATCAGCTACCCCTGAAACATTTTCCCATCTTAATACATAGTTTTCATGACCAATAAATAGTTAGGTTATTACTTCTGAACAAGAATCTACTGCTGGACATTAAGCTAACAATTTAAGCTATTCCATGTAATTATTTTGAACAGTGTTCCTAAGAAGCTCATGTATGCCCACTTTTTATTATTTGATCAGCTGTCACTATGTTTGAGCCACATAACTTAGAGAATAATTCATTTTAAGCTGACTCTGTTGTGATTTCACAGTCATGTTGTGTTAAAGTAAATTCTCTTTACTAATTAAGTATTAGGTTTGAAATTGATGTGAGAAAGCAGTGTATGCCCTAGCAGTTCTGTTACAACTTTACGAGTATAAATTCTAATTTTATTTATTTATTTTTAAAGATTTATTTATTTATTTATACAAGCACTGGGCACAGTCAGAAGCACGGGAGGGTGAGAGAATTCATCAGAGCCAGAGCAGGGAACAGAACAGGCAGACTGATGAAACACACTGCTGAGGGGAGCAGCGGTTGCGTCAGGAGAGGTCTGCCTCTCCATGTGGGACCCTCACTGGCGGCCGGGGATTGAACCGGCGCTGTAGAGCCTGCGGGCAGCTTCGCAGCCCAGCGCTCAACCGCTGCGCCACCAGGGGAGGCCCTATAAATTCTGATTTTATACTAAATTTTAGAGTGTATATTCAGAGTAAGAAACATTATGTTATTTTTAACAGATTGGTCAGAGGATTAGTTTTGGATCATGGTGCCCGTCATCCAGATATGAAGAAACAAGTAGAAGATGCATTTATACTTACTTGCAATGTGTCACTAGAATATGAAAAGACGTACGTTATGTCAGTTTTTTCATTTTTTTCCTGAAAGTGTTTTAAAATCTTTTTTTTTTCTTTCCCAAGTGTTTAGTGTAAATCCTTTTACCTTTTCTTTCCCACCAACCACCACCTTTATTAGTTTGTTTTTATTTATCTTTTAGAGAGGTGAGCTCTGGTTTCTTTTATAAGACTGCAGAAGAGAAAGAGAAGTTGGTAAAAGCTGAAAGAAAATTTATTGAAGATCGAGTACAAAAGATAATAGACCTGAAAGACAAAGTCTGTGCTCATTCTAATAAAGGGTTTGTTGTCATTAATCAGAAGGTGAGAAAGAAATTTTAGATTTTAACTCTTTTTAAATGTTCTTTAGTGTTTGTTCAAGTATGGTCCATGGACCCTTGGAAATCAATCCCTAAGACCATTTCATGGAGTCCATAGAGTCAAAACTTTTTTACATTAATAATAATAATGCCTTTTACATGTGTTGGCATGTTCAATGATGATGCAAAAACAACAGTAGGTAAAACCGCTGACATCTTAGTACAAATCAAAGCAGTAGCACCAAATTGCTTTATTAGTCATATTTCTTGTCACCACACCACCACACACTAGCAGTTAAAAAAAAAAAAAATGGCAGGGCCTCCCTGGTGGTGCAGGGGTTAAGCTGTGAAGCAATCCGCAGCCTCTGCAGCTATGAGTTCTGTCCCTGGCCACCCTGGAAGCAACCCACATGTCGAGGCCCTCTCCTGTCTCACTGGCTGCTCTCCTCAGCATTGTATTTCAGCTGGTCTGCCTGTTCTGTTCCCCTCTCTGTCTCTGTTGGATCCTCTTACTCCCCCACCCCCGTATCTCTGGCCTGTACCCCAGCTCTTGTATGCATAAATAAATAAGTCTTTAAAAAAAATGGCAGATTCATTTAAGAATTTTTTTTGATGAAGTGGTAAAACATTAATTTTATAAATTTTGATCCTTAAATGTGCATCCTTTTATAATTATGTGTGACAAAAAGTGAAGTATGCACAAAGCACTCTTACTGCATGTCAAAATATGGTTATCTTGAAGGAAAGTACTTGTGTAATTGAATTGTGAACTGGAAATCATACTTTTTTTGATGGAACATTATTTTTTACTTGAAAGAATGACAGATAAGCTATGATTATTTAGACAGAGGTTTTGATAGATTTTTCTCAAAAATTAATGAAATATTCCTGTCACTTCAAGGAAAACAAGGAACAACAGTATTTGTTGCTCATAATACCATTGGAACTTCACAAAATTCGAACTTGGGAAAACTTGTATATGCCACTGTGAACTTGACAGCTTTCTAATAGTTAAAAGGCTTTGCTGATAATATTGGTGATAGTATTAGCAAACGTGATACTTTTGACACTGTATAACCATGAAATATGCCAGCATTTGAAAGTTCTACCTAATTTAGTGAGTTGAAATTTTCTAAATGACTAAAAGATTTACAATCTAACAAAATCATGCATGGGTAAAGAATTCATTCAAAGTGCAAAAAGATAGACAAATGGATTTTTAATGTGAATGTTCCACAGATATGCTTCCATAGTCCACATTGCAACTGACTTTTAAGAAGCTATCATTTGTTTGTAGTATCAAGTAAGTATATCCATATTTATACGAAAATACTATTAAGCTGTTCTTCCCTTTCTCTATACTTACCTGTATTAGATCAAGTTTTTTTCATATATTTCAACCAAAATAATATATTGTGCCAAATTGAGTGCAGAAACAGATAAGAGATTCTAGCCATTTTCTATTAACACAGATTTTAAAAGTATTTGCAGAAAATGTAAAATAATGCTACTACCCTCACTGTATATTTTTATTTTTTGTTTAGGAAAGTGTAATACATTTTCATTTCAAAATGGTATTCATAGCAACATAAACTGTTTATTATTTTAAATGGTTTAATAAATATTTTTGAAATTTCTCTATATTCATAATATGATGTATATTATAGATACAGTTCACATAACAAAAATCTCTGTGAGTTCTTAATTTTTGAGTCTGAAACAGTGCTGCAACCAAAATGTTTGAGAACTACTGGCTTAAAACATGCTTGTAACTTTTATGCTAATTTCATTATAGGGAATTGATCCATTTTCCTTAGATGCTCTTGCAAAACATGGCATAGTGGCTCTTCGCAGAGCAAAAAGAAGAAATATGGAAAGGTAAAGTTACAGATAATTGTGTGTCCCAGTTATTTCTGACAGATTAAATTGTAATCATCCCACTTGTTTTCTTGTTAGCTTATATATACATGCTGAAAAAAAATAGTGGTGTACAAACTCCGAATTTTATTCTTAATTTTTTCTTGAATTTTCATATACAAAAGTCAAAATTTTAAAACTCAAGGTTTTAAAATTTTCAAAATGCAAGATTTTAACCTACTTCAGAACTTTGTTGAAATACAAGGAAGGTTTTCATCTTCTTAAAACAGATTTTAAAACCAATACAGTATAGTGACAATGCACTCTTTTGTGTTAGATGTCTTTTCATCTTTAAGAAATTAGTCTTTAGGTTTCCATAATTTAAGCTATAGTAATATATATGTAATTTCAGACTCTCTCTTGCTTGTGGTGGAGTGGCTGTGAATAGTCTTGAAGATCTCAGTGTAGATTTCTTGGGATATGCTGGTCTTGTACATGAGTACACATTAGTGAGTATTTCTGTGAGCAGTGGGTATAAAGAGAACAGTAAACCTTTTGTGTTTTTAAATACTAAACTTTTAAATTCAGGTTTTACATTTTGAGATATGAATAATCCACAGAGATTTCATACTTTATTTCAAACACTTGTTAAGAGTTCAAATATAGCTTAACTGCTTTTTAACATATTTAATAATGCTTGATAAGAAAAATTCACCTGAAGATTGAATTCTGACATTATTATCTCGGTCTTGATTTCATAAATATAACATACTAAAGTTATATCTTCTTATATTACTTTTAGGGTGAAGAAAAATTCACTTTTGTTGAGAACTGTATTAACCCTCGAGCTGTCACCTTGTTAGTTAAGGGGCCAAATAAGCATACTCTCACTCAAATCAAGGATGCTGTAAGGGATGGACTTCGTGCCATCAAAAATGCCATTGAAGATGGTAGGTTCTTTTTCATGATAGATACATATTTTTAAAGTGGTAATAAAAATATCATGGTTTGTAAAGTATCTTAAAAAATACAAAGAGTTACGTTTCTATCAATATATTTTGGGCAATTTGTAGTCTAAAAAAGTGTTTTAAAAAAATATTCTTAATAAGGAGCCTTCCTGGTGGCTCAAGGGATTAAGCCAGCACTATGAAGCTATCCACAGCCACTGCAGCATGAGTTCAATCCCCAACCAGGAAAGTGACCCACATGGTGCCGCAGACCTCTCCTGACTGGCCTGCTGCTCCCATCAGCAGTGTATTTCAGTCAATCTGCCTGTTCTGCTCCCCACTCTGTCTCTGGTGAATCTTCTCACTCCCCCACACCTCTGGCCTGTATCTCAGTTCTTATATGCATAAATGAATAAATCTTTAAAAAAATATTCTTAATAATATGCTGCCATTTTGATTAATTTATGTTTATGAAATAAACATAATGCTATAATATACATTTAATGCTATAGTATCATCTTTAAATTTTTAGACTTTTATTTTTTAAACCTGAAAAGCTTTTACAGCTTTGAATTCATTCCATTACCTCAAATGTGGTGTAAATTTAAGGAGGATTAGGAAAGAATATTAACATTTAATATTTATTGATAATTTACAACCATATCCCTTCTAAAAGAAGCTAGGGTAGATAAGTACATAAAAGTACACATTTCAAATAGAATAATAAGTGCATGAAAGCTCAACATCTTTAGTCATTAGGGAAATGAAAATAAAAACCACTATGAGGTACCATATCACAATTGTCAGGAGAGCTATATAACCAAAAAGCTGGATAATAATATTGGCAAAGATGTAGCGAAATCAGAACTCTCAGACATTGCTGGGGCACTTTTGGATAACAGACAGTTCCTCAAGAAGTTAAACATTGAGTTACTTTATGATCCAAATATCAGCTTTTTGATAAATTCACAAGAGTTAAAAACATATCCACACTAAGATCTTGCACACAAATGTTCATAACAACTTTTTATTCATAATAGCCTAACAGTGAAAACAATCCATTAGCTGAAGGGTAGATAAATAGAATGTGGTGTATCCATATAATGGAGTTTTATTTCACCACAAAAAGGAATAAATACTGATATATACTATGACATGGATGATCTTGAAAACAGTATGCTAAGTGAAAGAATCTAGATTTTACAGTTGTTGATACTTCCAGGTGGGACCAAAGTGAGGTGATGGGGTAGAGCCTGTTAACTCAGCAAAAATTAGATACTATAATTAGTTTCCTGCCACTATAAATTATAAATAACCAGTTTTTTAAAATGTAGTCATAAGGGAATCAGGTGAAAATGGAAGAAATGTCTACTCTTATTTGCCATGGATAAGCAATGAAAAAAGCTGTTTGTATCCATTTGTCCATACCAGGCTTATTTAATGGCATGTAACTTCAGGATACTTCATCTGCGTCATGTACTTATTTTATTTCTTATATATTTGAATACATTTTTGACATACACAAGTAGACTTGAATACCTAATTGCTTTTATCTCTGGTTTGATTTTTTTTTTTTTTTTTGTATGGCTTGTTTTGCCATTAGTGTTTCTCTCCCAACAGGCTGTGTGGTTCCAGGTGCAGGTGCAGTTGAAGTGGCGATAGCTGAAGCTCTTGTTACCTACAAGCACAGTATACAAGGAAGAGCCCGTCTTGGAGTCCAAGCTTTTGCTGATGCTTTACTTATTATTCCTAAGGTACAATAATTTAATAGCCAAAGAACAACTGGTTAGACATACAGGTGTTGAATTAGAAGTTGCCCATGTTATATATTTGCATTTCTTCATGCACATTTTTCGAAGATATTTTATAGCTAAAGTAGGGAAACTTTTGGCATAACAGCTGAGAATCCTTATAGAAGTTTCACAAATAGCCACTTTAGCATCTTGTTTCCTTCTCTGAGCTCTAAAAGTTGAAGTAATTCCAAAAATTTCCCTCAAAAAATAGTTCATTATTAACTAATTATATTGAAGTATATTTTATAACTTAGAACTTAAAATTTAATTAGATTTTAGGGTAAACTTATTTTATTGATGGTCAAAAGTGTTATCACTTTACATTGTGGAATGTAACAACTTCAGGTTATTTAGCACTTCCCAACACTAGTTTGCATTTGTCATTGTCATTATAATTCCTAGAAAAGAAGAAAAAACATTTTTCCATGTATCAACACTTGATATTCAAATATATATGTGAAGGCATTTCACACATATTTATTACTTTTTTATTTCTAAAGGTTCTTGCTCAGAATTCTGGTTATGACCCGCAAGAAACGCTAGTAAAAGTTCAGGCTGTGCATTCAGAATCAAAACAACCTGTTGGCATAGATTTGAATACAGGTAAGGTGAAAAATTCACTAACCCAGAATTTTGCAGTTCACTAACTCAGAACTTATAGTAACAGTAGAAGTTTAGGTGACTTTAATATTTAGTTTTGGGGGGCCTCCCTGGTGGCGCAAGGGGTTAAGACGCAACCTATGCGGCTAGCCGCAGCCACTTCAGCACAAGTTCGATCCCTGGCCAGGGAGCAACCCACATGGCGCAGCAGACCTCTCCTGACAATCCCGCTGATCCCCTCAGCAGTGTATTTCAGTCATTCTGCCTGATCTGTTCCCCACTCTGTCTCTGGTGGACCCTCTCACCGCCCGTACCTCTGGCCTGTACCCCTGTTCTTGTATACATGAATGAATAAATCTTTAAAAAAAAATACTTAGTTTTGGGTGCCTTTAGTTTACTTTTGAACTTCTTGAAATATTTATTCATCTAGGAAATAGAGTGTTATTTGATTTTTGAGATTCACATAAAACAAACATAAAAATTTTGCTTTTGTGAGCTTATGTTTTATTGGGGAAGGACAGGTGTTAATACCAACCTTAACAAACAAATCCCTTTCACATTTTAAAAAGTAGCAAATTCTGTGGGGGAAAATAAAAGAATAGAATGGTTGTGAATGCTAGCACAGGGAGGTGGAAAGAGGTCTGCAATTTAAAGATTGTGGTTATAGGAGGCCTTATTGAGAATATGTCTATTGAAAAAAAAAATCAAAAGAAGTTAGCCATGTGGTTAACTAGAGAAAGAGTTAACTAGACTAACTGTTAACTAGAAACAGAGGAAACAGTCAGTCTGATGTATTTAGGGAGGTAGAAGGTGATATAATCATGTACATCATACAAAGACTTATCAGCCAGTCTAAGAACTTTGACTGTAGTGTAATAAGAACAGTTTTGAGCAGAGGTGTGACATGGTCTAAAGGATTACTGTGGCTACTTTGGAGGGAAGTCACAACTGGAAGGTTGGGATTGTCATTAACTATATTGGAGAAGACCACGGTAGAGCAGGTTATGATAGTGGTGGATCAGTTGAATTTTGCAAAGTTAAGTTTGAAGTGTCTATAGACTTTCATGTAAAATAGACAGATGGAACTCAAGAAAGAGGTTGCCTTGAAGATAAAAACTTGAGAGTCACCAGAGTGTACATGTGTAGGATAGGTAAAAGGTATAAGGCTTTTCTGCTCTCCTGCCATTAGGATAGATAAGGGAACCCTGTGGTCCTGAATGCACGCCTGATGGCGGGCACCTGAAGTGGGTACACCTGGGCTGAGAGACTGGACTTTTAAGGGCGGCATCATGGGGATTCCAGCAGCTGCAGAGAGAGAAGGAGAAGCAAGAGAAGCAGAAGCCAAGAACGAAACAGAAGCAGAGAAGCCGAGAGCAGAGAAGCAGAGAGAACGTCAGAGAGACCAGAAAGAGTGAAGACTTGCTGGGGGCTGGGAGGCCTGCCAGCCTCCCGGCCCCCAGACCCCAACCTGCCATGTACCCGGTAAATCCCAATAAAAGACCTGCAAAAGCCACTGAGGACTCTGACTCCTCCTCTACCCAGTCTGCTGGATCAGAAAACCTGCATTGTGGCCCTTTCCAGCCCCTACAACATGGTTTAAATCCAAAAGGCTGGATGAGATTATCTAGGAAATGAATGTTGAGAGAAAAATACAGGCCTGAACCTTTGGGTACTCACACTTTAAGGGCTCAGGGAAGAAGAGAAAGAATTAGAAAAGCAGACAGAAAAGGAGCCACAAATATAACAGAAAAAAAAACAGCAAGAGTGATGGAATACAAGTGAAGAAAGGTAGTTAGGAGAGTGTAATCATGTGTTAAGCAGATGAGGCCTCAGAGTTGACTGTAGACATCAATGGAGGGCTTTGGTGACCTTGACGATCGTAGTTCTGGTGGAAAGTAAGTATAATTAGAATTTACATCCTATATTAGTAGAATATATCAAGAATGCAGTATTAAAAATAGTTGTTTTTTACTTTGTAGGTGAACCAATGATAGCAGCAGATGCAGGAGTTTGGGATAATTATTGTGTGAAAAAACAACTTCTTCACTCTTGGTAAGTTTGTATTACTAAAAAGAAAAAGACTTTGGGGCATAATTGATATCGTTAAGTATAGGAAAAGGCATGGTATCCAGCTATTAAAATAGGATTCTGTCATTTTACAGTGTTTTTTACATTTTAGTTCTAGCAGTGTAAGTTGTAGGAAATTCTAACAGTTTATTCTTACAGTTTATTCGAGGAAGAGGGGAAAGAAATAGAACAACATGTTTAGTGGGAAATCAATCAAACAGTGTGCTGAAAATGAATTCTGTTTTGCTGGAATTAAAGTCAGGCTTTTTGTTTATCAGCAAGGAGTAGAAATTATAATACAAGGGGTGATGTTTGTGTTTATAATAGCTTGTCTCATAAAATCTCACCAACATCATTAAAAAACAAAATACATTTATAACTAAATATTGCTAGGGGTAAAGGATAAGAATGTGGTGGGAGGCTTTACTCACCCTGTCATCTTTTTTCTTAGCACAGTGATTGCCACCAACATTCTCCTGGTTGATGAAATTATGCGAGCTGGTATGTCTTCTCTCAAGGGGTGATTGAGTTCAAAATCTGGAAGCTGAAATATATAGCACATCTTATATCTAGCTATCATTATAAAGCCCAGACCATTGTTAATTTTTACATAATAAATAATTTAAATTTATTTGTCTTAGTGGTTTCAAAAATTACATCAAAGTATACAAAGATCATACATCAAGACTAAGTGAAATTTATCTCAGGGATGCAAGGATGGATTTATATACATAAATCAATCAATATACTGCTTTATATTAACAAAAGAAAGGATAAAATTCATGATAATATCAATAGATACAGAGAAAGCATTTGACAAGACTCGGTATCCATTTATGATAAAAATTCTGAACAAGATAGGACAAAGGCTATAGATCACAACTTATTGCAAACTTAATACTTTTAAAATAGGTAATATAATTGTATTAATTTTTTAATTTTAATATATTTATTTTTTATTGTTATTCATTTTTGTACAATGTTTGATTTCTCTTTTCAGGTGTAATCCCCATAAAAGTCCCACTACCAAGTTCACCAATGGTAAACCATTACCATAGTCTCTTGTGTTCGTCCCTCCCATTTTGACCCCTCTTCCTTTTCATCCCCCTCCCCTGCTATATGCTGTATGCCTCAGATCTATAGTTTGCCTGCTAGTTTTGTCTTTTTTCCTTGATCCCTTGTTTGGTTTTTCTATATTCCTCCTATAAATGAAATCATTCAATATCTTTCTTTTTCCTACTGGATTTTTTCACTGAGAATAATCTCTTCCAGCTCTCACCATGTTGCCGTGCATGGCATGAGTTTATCTTTTTTGATTGCCAAATAGTATTCCATTGTGTATATAAACCATATCTTCTTGATCCAGTCATCTGTTTTTGGGCACTGAGGTTGTTTCCATATCTTACTTATTGTAAATAGCACTACAATAAACATAGGAGTGCAGCTTTCCTCTCGAATGAATTTTTGTGTCCGTTGGGTAGATTACCAAGGAGTGGAATTGCTGGGTCATATGGTAGATCCATTTTTCGTAGTTTGAGGGTCTTCCACACAGCTTGTAGTGATTGGACCGGTTTGCATTCCCACCAGCAGTGTAAGAGGGTTCCTTTTTCTCCACATTCTTGCCAGTATTTGTTTTTGCCCTTTTTTTTTTTTTTTTTTTAATATGGGTCATTCTCACTGGTGTGAGGTGGTATCTTGTGATTTTGATTTGCATTTCCCTGATTATAAGTTATGTTGAGCATTTATTGCATACCTGTTGGCCATTTGTATTTCCTCTTTGGAGAAGTGTCTTTATCTCTTCTGCCCCCCCCCTATTTTTTTAAGATTTATTTTTATTTATTTATGCATACAAGAACTCAGGTATAGGCCAGAGGTGCGGGGCATGAGAGGATTCACCAGAGACAGAGTAGGGAGCAGAACAGGTGAATCTACTGAAATACACTGCTGGGAGTGGTGGGCGAGACAGGAGAAGTCTGCTGCACCATGTGCGTTAGTTCCCTGGCTGGGGATTGAACCCACGCCACAGTGGCTGGTGATAGCTTGATAGCAGAGACTTTAAGCCACCAGGGAGTCCCTCTTCTGCCCATTTTTTGATTGGATTGTTTGCTTTGTTTTTGTTGAGTTGTATGAGCTCTTTGTAGATCTTGAAATCAGTCCCTAATCAGTTGTATGGAGTGCAAATATTTTCTCCCAATCAATAGAGTATCTCTTTATTTTGGTTATTGTCTCATGCTGTAAAAAAGCTTTTTAGTTTGATATAGTCCCAGCTGTTTATCTTTTCCTTCATTTTCTTTGTTCCTGGAGATGAGTCCTAAATGATTTTTCTGAGGTGTATGTCATAGAGTGTTTTGCCTATGTTTTATTATATATATTTTATGGTTTCAGGTCTTATATTCAAATCCTTTATCCATTTTGAGTTGGTTTTTGTGCATGGTGTGAGGTAGCAGTCTGGTTTCATTCTTTTGCATTTGACAGTCCAGTTTTCCCAGCACCATTTATTGAACAGACTATCCTTGTTCCATTGCATATTCTTTGCTCCTTGTCTTAAACTAGTTGTCCATATAGGTGTGTCTTTATTTCTGGGTTTTATATTAGATTCCATTGGTCTGTGTGACTGTTTTTGTTCCAGTACTATATTGCTTTAATTGTTATGGCTTTGGAGTATAATTTGAAGTCTGGGAGTGTGATAGCTCCGTTCTCCTTTTGAGTCAAGAGAGCTTTGGCTATTTGAGTTTTTTTTGTGATTCCATATGAATTTCAGCAGTACTTGTTCTATTTCTTTGAAGAATGCCATTGAGATTTTTATCAGAATTGCATTGAATCTGTAAATTGCTTTCAATAGGATGCCATTTTGATAATGTTAATTCCTTCAATCCATTTCTTTGTGTTGTCTTCTGTTTCTTTTTTTTTTTTTTTAAATAATGAATTTTATTTTTATATTCCCCCATACAATTGCAAAAGCCCCATTCTGACTCCAATCCTTCCCTTCCCGCCCCCCACCCCCCAAAAAGTGTCTCTGGTTCATAGTTTTTTGTTGATTTTGATTTTCACTTTCTTATATTCATTTTCCTGGTCCCTTATTTAAGTTTTCTAGATTCCTGCTATGAGTGAGACCATCCGGTATGTCTTCTGTTTCTTTTAATGATGTTTTATAATTTTCTTTGTATAGGTCTTTCACCTTCTTTGTTAGGTTTATCTCCAGGTGTTTAACTTTTTTTGGTACAATTGTAAATATGATGGTTTTCTTAATTTCTTCTTCAGACTGATTGCTTGCATATAGGAAGGCTACTTATTTTTGTGTGTTGATTTTGTATCCTGCTACTTTACTAAACTGGTTTATTGTTTTGATTATTTTTTTCTGTAGAAGTTTTAGGGTTCTCTGTATATTATCATATCATCTGCAAATAGTGATAGTTTTACTTCTTTCCCTGTTTGGATTATTTGTATGTCCTTATCTTGCCTAATTGCTCTGGCTAGGACTTCCAGTATTATATTGAAAAGCAGTGGTGAGACCAGACATCCTTGTCTTCTTGTAGATCTTAAAGGGAAGACTTTCAGCTTTTTACCATTAAGAATGATATTGGCCTTGGGTTTGTCATATAGACTTTTATTATGTTAAGCTATGTTCCTTCTATCCCAAGAGTTTCAAGGTCCTTCATCATACATGGATATTGAACTTTGTCAAATGCTTTCTCAGTATCTATTGATATGATTATATGGTTTTTATTTTTCTTTTTGTGAGTTTGTTGAATTACATTAATTGATTTTCAGATGTTGAATCATCCATGTGCCCCTGGAATAATTCTCACTTGGTCATGGTATATTATCCATTTGATGCATTGTTGGATGGTTTGCTAGGATTTTATTGAGAATTTTTTCATCTGTGTTCATTTGGGAGATTGACCTATAGTTTTCTTTTTTTGTGTGTTGGCTTTGTTTGATTTTGGTATTAGTGTAATGTTGATTTCATAAAATGTATTTGGTAGTAGTCCTTCTTTCTCAATTGAAAGGTTTTTATAGGATAGGTACCATCTTTGTAGGATAGGTTCATTTTTGAACATTTGTGAAACCATCTGGTCCTGGGCTTTTGTTTTGGGGGAGGATTTTGAATACTGTTTCAATTTGTTGCTTGTAATTGGTTTGTTTAGTTTTTCTATTTCTTCTTTATCCGGCTTTGGGTGATTGTATAATTTTAAGAATTTGTCCATCTCTTCTAGATTGTTGAACTTGTTTGCATATAAATGTTCATAGTAATCTCCAATTATTCTCTGGATTTCTGCTCTGTCTATTGTTATTTCTTCTCTTTCATTTATGATCCTATTTATTTGCATTTTCTCCCTTTTTTTCTTTGTGAGCCTGCCTAGAGGTTTGTCTATTTTGTTTATTTTTTTCAAAGAACCAGCTTTTGGTTTCATTGATCATTTGGATTGTCTTTTTAAAATTTCTATTTCATTTATTTCTACTTGAATTTTTATTATTTCCTGTGTTCTATTGGCTTTTGGTTGTTCTTTTTCTAGTTCTTTGAGATGGGAGATTAGATTGTTACTTTGGGTTCTTCTTGTTTCTTGATGTTGACCTGTATTGCTATATAATTTCCTCTTATTCCTTTTGCTGTGTCCCATACATTCTGGAAAGTTGTGACCTCATTGTCATTCATCACAAGGTGTTTTTTAAGTTCTTCTTTGATTTCCTCATTAATCCAATGGTTTTCCAGTATTGCGGGGTTCAATCTCCATGAAATGGGAGGGTTCCTTGTTTTCTTTTCATGGTTGATTTCTAGTTTGATGCCTTTATGTTAAGAGAACATAGTTGGTATGATTTCAATCATCATGTATCTGTTGATATTTGTCTTGTGGCCCAGTATGTGGTCAATATGAAGAATGATCTGTGTGTGCTTGAGAAAAGTATGCATTTGGAATTTTGGGGGATGCAATGTCCTATAGATATGTGTTAGACCCATGTGGTCTAAGTCTTTATTTAGGGATATTGTGTCCTTATATTTAGGACACAATATATTGTGTCTCGTTGATCTGTCTGTTGGTGAGAGTGGGGTGTTGAAGTCTCCTACTACATGTGTATTTTGTCTAATGTCTGTTTTCAGAGATGATAATAATTGTCTAATGTATTTTGATACTCCTTCATTTGGTAAGTATATGTAAAGGAATGTTATATCTTCCTGCTGTATTGTCCCCTTCATCATAATGTAATTACCATCTGTGTCTCTTTATAACCTTTTTTGTTTGAAGACTATTTTGTCTGATGTAAGTATGGCTGTCCCTGCTTTCTTTTGGGGTCCATTTGCTTGTAGAATTGTTTTCCAACCCTTTTTCTTTCAATCTATATTTATCTTTTGCAGTTAGGTGTGTTTCTTGAAGTCAACAGAAGTTTAGATTCTTTTTTTTTTTAATCCAGTTTGCTGCTCTGTGTCTTTTTTATTGATGAGTTTAGTCTGTTTACATTTAGGGTGATTATTGATCCATGGGAGTCTGTACTTGCCATTTTGTTTATCATTTTGTGGTTCTATTCACTGCCTTATTCTGTTCTCCCTATTCATTCCTCTGTTGGTTTAGAATTTAAAGCTTCTTGTAATATTTCTTGGAGTGGGGGTTTGTAGTAATGAATTTC